CAGGGCTCCGTTGGGCACGACTGGGCGGCGCTCACCTTCTGTCTGCCCTGCTCCCTCTGCCAGATGGCCCGAGAACTGAAGATCAGGCAGTGACAGTGTGGTGCACCCTCCCCACCTAGGCCCACCTGCCCCACTGGGCCTCCTCTGCCCCCTCCACCCCAGGCCCGAAACCAGAAGAAAACACCCACAATAAAAACCTGAAAACCAACTCCGCCTACACTCTTTCTGTCCAGGGAAAGGAATCCAGATGGAGAGGAAGGGTTGGTGAGGGAGGTGGGGACACTGGAGAGATCCCTAGATGAAGGAGGAGGACTGGGGGCTGGACTTTTGAATCCAACTGTCTGGCTATGTCCTCAGGAGTTCTGGTGGCCCATTAGGAGGCTAACCACAAGGTCAACGGTTTGAACCCAGTGCGCTGCTGGGCAGGAGAAAAATGAGGCTGTCTGCTCCCTAAAAGCCTCCGAAACCTTCTGCAGGGTCAATGTAAGTCGGAATAAGGAGCCCCGGATAGGCAGTGGTGACAAGGTGGGCTACTAAACCCAGAGTCAGCAGCTGGGAACTACAGCCCCCGCCCCTCCCCCCCCCCAGGGAGGAATATGATGGCTTCTACCCCCTTAGAGCCACAGCCTCAGAAACGGCCCATAGGGTCGCTATGAGCTGGAATCGAGCCATGGCAGTGAATTGGTTGGTGGGTGGTATTTTAGCTCCGAGTTGGGCAGCAGTTCAAACCCAAGCCACCAGCCATTCCGGGAGAAATCTGAGGCTTTCAAAAATATATAACATGTACCATTAAAAAAAAAAGGACAGCTTCGGAAACCCACAGGATGGCCATGAGCCAGAAGGGACTCCGCAGCTGTGAGGGGGATGACTCAGAACGTGAGTGGGTTGGGTCTGGTTTGGTTGTGGGCAAGGAAGGCTCTGCCCTCTCTCAATCCAAGTGTTCCCACAGAAACCCATTACCACGAAGTCCATTCCAACCCACAGTGACCAGATAGGACAGGGTAGAGCTGTCCCCTAGGACCTCCATGGCTGTACCTCATAGGTTCCCAAACTTATTTGACCGACCTCCCCCTTTACAGGAAGAAAAAAAAATTAATTCAACTCTCCCCTAGCCATTGAACACTTTTTGTTTTTATGTCAGATAGATCATTTTCTATTTTAATTACAAGATCATTTTATTGGGGGCTCTTAAAACTCTTATTACAACCCAGTCATCAATTGTATCGGGCATCTTTGTACATATGTAGCCATCGTGCAATAGAATGCTTTTATTCTAGATGCCATAATGTAGGATCAAATGTTAAGGATCTACTTTTGTGGGCCCCATGGATCATTCCGGCACCACTAGGGGGAGGTATCGCCCACTTTGGGAAACTTCCGGGGATCTTTTTTTTTCTTTTTTAACATTTTATTAGGGGCTCATACAACTGTTATCCCAATCCATACACACATCAATTGTGTAAAGCGCATTTGTACATCGTTTCTCAAAACATTTTCTCTCCATTTAAACCTCCGACATTAGGTCCTCCTTTTTCCCCTCCCTCCAACTTCCGGGGATCTTTACAAATGGAGACTGCCACATCTCCTACTAGGAGTGGATGTGTTCCAATCTTTCCGTGACCAGCCACCAGGACATTCACGTTCTGCTGCAGTCAGGATGCCTGGCGGGGATCAAGTTCAAGGGAACGTTTAGAGAGGTTCCTGCCTCATTCAGTCCCTGTGAATTCTTGGCTTCAGTGGAGTTCTAATAGATTCAGGGATTTTCTCTCCAAAGCAGAGAAGCGCCAGGTCTAAATTTCTCTGACACAGAACGGCCTCTGTAGGGCAAGTCGTTCAATCCATCCTCTTGACTGCCAAGTCCATGCCTCGAGTCGATGCCAACGCATGGTGACCCTACAGGACAGGGTAGAACAACCCCTGTGAGTTTCTGAGACTGTCACTCTTTATGCGGGTAGAAAGCCCCATCTTTCACCGGAGGAGCCGCTGGTGGCTTTGAACTGCTGATCTTGCAGGAAGCAGCCAAACTCGTAACCACTACTCCACCAGGGCTCAATGGGAAAGTGTTGAGGTTTCAAAATTGGACAGCTCTGAAGGCCAGTCCTGCCTCTTGTCATTTACTTACTAGCTACCTTATCATAATGAATCAAGCCTTCCTCTGTTTTACGTTGTTACTATTGTTAGTTTGGGGGTGGGGTTGTGTGTGTGTGTGTGTGTGTGTGTGTGTGTGTGTGTGTGTGTTATCTATCCTTCTATCCAGGATAAATAAATCTATAGAGTCAGTAACTGGATCGAGAAATGAGGAGCTAATAACAATGAGTATAAGGAGGAAGACAATGTTCTAAAATGGATTGCGTGGTGATGATGGCACACCTCTTGATATGACCGAACTATTGAATTGCATGATTTGTGGGTTATGTGCCAATAAAACTAGTTTGGGACAGCTAGAGAAGCCTTCAGGAAACTATTTCCCTCTCTGCGAGACGTGCAAGCCCTACCAGGTCACATCCAGGACAAGAGAGGGGACAGATGGAAAGGTCAAAGCATGACCCTTGCTATTCCATAACACATCGAGTCCTGATGGCATAGAGGTTACGCATTGGGCTGCTAAGCACAAGGTGAGCAGTTTGAAGCCACCAGCTGTTCCATGGAAGAGGTGTTCTACTCCCGTGAAGAGTTACAGCCTGGGAAACCCACAGGGGCCGTTCTACCCTATCCTACAGAGTCAATAGGAGTCGGAATGGATGCGATGTCCGTGAGTATTATTCGCAATGTCACCTGCTGTTGCGGTTCCTCTCTGTGTGTGTCTTTCTCTGTCTGTGCACCCAGACAGGGTGGCACTGCCCACTGAAAGACCTGATGCCACTGCCAGCTGCCATCAAGCTGACTCCTACATGGTGGCCCCGGCGAGTCACAGTACAACTGTGCTCCATAGGGTTTCCAGTGGCTGGGGGCAGTGGTGGAGGTGGAAGGGGGTGTCTCCCTTTTCAGGTGCCTGAGCAGTGGATTTGAACCTTTAACCTTCTGGTTAGTAGCTGGGTGCGCTATTTTTACCACTCAGAAAACCAAACCCAACTCACTGCTCTCAAGTCGGTGCCAACACGCCACAACCCGATAAAGCAGGGTAGAACTGCCCCTGTGGGTTTCCAAAACCGTAACTCTTTATGGGAGTCGAAAGCCTCATCTTTCTCCCTTGGAGTGACTGGTGGTTTCGAACTACTGACTTTCCGGTTAGCAGCCCAACATGTGACCACAGACCACCGGGATTCCCTTTACCACCCAGGGACGCCAAGAATGTCCACTAGGCAGCTCAAGCTTGCAACCACGTCAAAAGCCTAACTCTGATTCACTTCAGCCCTGTTGCCCCCGCAGCCCTTCCAGCTGCTGCCACGTTCAAAGCCAATGCCCAATCAACCGATTAGCAAATGATCTTTGTTCTACCTGCAGAATAGCTCCCAAACCTCACCATGTCTCTTTCCGCTCGGCCTGGTCTAGCCACCCACCTCTCCAGCAGGAACATCACGCAGCCATCTCCTTACCAGACTCCCAGCTGCTAGCCCAGTTCTCTTCTCCATAAAGCAGCAAGGGGGCGCTGTGAGAACCCCTCAGTCAGACCACGGGCCACCTCTGCTCAGAACCCTCCCGGGGGGTTCTCTCTCCCCCAGCGTAAAAGCTAGTGTCTTTGCCTTGGCCCAAAGCCCTGCATGGTCTGTCCCCTTGGTCCCTCTCTGCACTGCCTCCGCCCTGTCTCTCTCTCTTTCAACGACTCCCTCCCTCCCTTTCCTAGTGAGATGTCCTTCTCCAGGGACCACGCCCCCACCCCATCGTTGCCTTTCCTTGTCACCTTCAACAAAACCCCATCATGCCCTGACGCATCAGACAGCTCCCTCCCTAGCCGGTCAGTTCCTGGAGGAAGGACCTTGCTCAGCGCTGTGCCCCAGCACTTGCAGCGGCTTGGAGGTCATCAGAGGTGGAGCGAATGAGTCACCACAGGTGGCAGCGGTTCATCCTGACACAGAGGAGAGACTGTGTCAGAAGGGAAGTGACTTCGCAGGCGACGTGGGACGATGGAGAGACAGACCGGCTGCTGGCAGCGCCCAGACTGGTCTCTCAGTTCTTGGGCAAGCGGCTTCACCGCTCCAGTCTCAGCTTCTGGGTGTGCAAGCTGGAAAGATGAGCGCATCGGAGCCGGGAGGACTTATGACTCGGGCCACATACCCTGGACCATGCTTGGGGTTCTGCAGAGCCTTGAGAGCCCCCTGGCCCCGTTCTTTCCCCGGGGGTCCCAGTATGTGGATGGCCTGGTGTGGGCTAGAGCTCCCCACACCTCAGTCCATGTTCTCCAGTCCCTCTCCCCCTGGGCATTGGGGTCCCTGGATAGCAGACAGAGGTGACCACTGAGAGGCTGCAGGAGGGAGGAGAGGAGGGCCGATGTTCTGGGGCACTGGGGGCAGAAGCATCGGCAGAGCAGCGACAGGAGCCAAAGGGGTGGGGGGTGGGGGTGGGGGGAGCTCTGTACCTCAGAGAAAAGGCCCAGGGTACGTTCCGCATAGGAAGGCGGGAGGAATAGCTGCTAAGAAAAACCCAAACTCACTGCCATTGAGTCAGTTCTGACCCCTAGTGACCCCGTCGGGCAGAAGAGAACTGCCCTGTGAGTTTCCAAGACCGCAGGTCCCCGTGGGAGCAGAAAGCCGGAGCGGGTGGTGGGTTCAAACTGCTGACCTTACGGTTAGCAGCCTAATGCGTAACCCACGGCAACGCCACCTGGGTCCCTCGTTGCTAAGGAGTGACCTCCCCACAGGGTCACAGCATGACCTGGAGGGTCGCGAGGAACCGCGGCTCCCTTCTGACCACACTGGATGGACTCTCCTCTGGTGCCCACGCGGCTGTTGGCTCCCATCCTCCATGGGTAAGCCTGCCTTTTCTCCAAGCAGAAGCCCCCCAGTTTTAAACACCCTGCCCCTGGGCTGGGGCCGCTCTCAGCGACGTGAGAACTACCAGCCGCTCCGAGGGAGCGAGTAGGGCTTTCTGCTCCGTGAAGAGTTCAGAGTCTCAGAAACCCACGGGGGCAGGTCTGCCCCGTCCTAAAGGGTCACGGTGAGTTGGTATCGATTTGATGGCAGCTCAGTTTATTTGGTTTTGGGTCCTGTGTTAGACTGGGTACTTTAGAGAAACAAATCCACAGAAATTCATGTCTAAGAGAGAATTTTATATAAAGGTTAAGTGCACATCAAGAAAACATCCCAACCCAGTGTTGCCCACGCCCACAAGTCCAACATTAACCCATATGTCCAACACCAGGCCACAAAGTCCTCCTCCATCTCACAAAATGCACACTATGATGCCGACTGCAGGAGGAAAGCCGAGTCAGTGAACGTGTAAGCATCTCAGCGCTGGCAGGGGTCTCCACACAGCTGCTCCAGCACCCAGGGCGGCATCGGGGTAGGTCTATGTGGCTTCTCCTCGGCGATGTCTTACAGGAAGTGAGACTTGCCAGCTGAAGCAGGGAACTGGCTAAGGCACCTGCACCCTGGTCTGATCATCACAAAGCAAGAGACCCAAGAATTACAAAGGTGAGGCTCACCGAGTCATTTATCCCTCCGCCCTTCAATTAACCTCACATGTTTATTGGCCGGGTTGGCACCATAAACTAACTACCTAAGGTCCTAACTAGAGCTGCTTCCTAGGTGGTCAGGCTGGTGTCAATGGTGACCGTGCTCAGCTGCTAACTCCAACTTTGGAGGTTGGAGTCCACCCCCAGAGCCTTGAAGAGATCTGACATCTTGAAGGGAGTAAAAAATCAGCCATCGAAAACCCTATCTAGTAAGTTGTACACCTGCAAAAAGCTGAATAGGCAGATGACGTGTGATCCTTTCTGCCGCTGAACCCCAGCCAAACACCTCATGGGATTGGGGCTCTGGTTTTGGTGGTTCAGGACCCAGGTAATTATCCTAATAACATGTTTACCATACCTGTTCCCCCTCCAAGTTGTTTGCCTTGTGTCCAGGGCCTGTAAAAGCAGGCAAGTGGTCATTTAAGACGCAATCAGTCTCTTCCCCTGAAGCAGCAGAAGGAGAGTCAAGAAGTGGAGGAGATGGAAGGGGTGGCTCACTGCCCCAGGGAACCACTGTCTGCTGTATCCTGCTACCAGAACCGGACAGTGCCTGGTCACCATTACGGAACTTTGCCGGACGGTGCCTGGTCACCATTACTGAACTTTGTCGATCAGAGCCTTTAGAGCAGCGGTTCTCATCCTGTGGGTTGCGACCCCTTTGGGGGTGGAGAGACCCTTTCACAGGGGTCACCTGATTCATAACAGTAGCAAAATGGCAGTTTATGAAGTAGCAACGAAAATAATTTTATGGTGGTGGGGGTGGGGGTTCACCACCACATGAGGAACTGTATGAAAGGGTCACGGCATTAGGAAGGTTGAGAACCACAGAGGAATCCCAGTCTAAGGAGAAAAACGACACAATGGGATGCCAAGTTCTCTTGGAATCCAGACTCTGGTGCCACAGAGCAACGGGAATGAACCCCTGAAACTACTGCCCCGAAATGATCTTTTAAGCCTCGAGTCAAAAAGTATCTTCTGAAGTCTTCTCTAAACCAGAGTGGGGCTTAACTGGCCAAGCACGTCTTCCTTGGGCTTTAGGCTTTTTCAAGAGCTCTCCGCAGGGGCAGTCTTGGAAGAAGTCTTGCTCCTTAGAGGCAAGGATGGCGAGGCGTTGTCTGGCGTACTTTGACCGTGTTGTCAGGAGGGACCGTCTCTGGAGGAGGATGTTAGGTAAGGTGGAGGGTCGGTGAAAAGAAAGGAAGCCCTCCACCAGAGGGGCTGACACCGCAGCCACATCAATGGGCTCCGGCATAGGACCAACTGTGAGGACGGCGCAACGCACAAGGCGCAGGGCCACAGTGTTTAGTTCTGTCTTGCACGGGGTCACTATGGGTCCCACCCACCCACCCACCAC